TGCAGGCTGGTAAGGGCCTGAGGATAATATTAATCTCAATTAAATGATACGGGATAGATAAACATACTTTCCATGTCAGCAGTCTATCATTTGTTGTGGATTAAAACAAATATTTTGAAATATATTCTATCATCAATGCCGTTTATCGAATTCGCACACACTTAATTTTCTGATACCTGATTCAAATAGTTTTATTGAATAACATTAAGTGGTGATCTAAATAAACATGAGTATGCATGATCAGATCACAATTATTCATACTGTTATTGATTCTAGTGTAGATTACTTCAAGAACTAATGTCAGTTGGAAAAACATTGAAAACCATGGAGCACCGAACAGCTGCCCCACACTATTATGGGACTGTTCGAGCAATGAACACCAATAATCCCACCCACCACCGATCGAACCCAGGGTCAGGTTGGAATCCAATGACGCATGTTAAAGAGTTCCAAATTGGAAAAATAAACAGCTGTTCAGTACTTCAGGGTTTTCGATAGTTTTCTAACTGATGTCGATTCGTGATGACACCTAATACTGACATTGATCAAAATCCCTGCAAACTCTAAAATTCTGATTATCATTACAAATACAGTTATAGTGACAAATTTAACAGTACACAGGTATATCGACAAATAGACAAAGGATCCCATAATATCGTGCTGATAATTGACAGTCCTACACTCCATTACGTACAACATCACGGAATACGAATTTCCCACACGAAGGAAGGAATGTAAAACAAAGAGCACATGGAACTATACCGTCTTTAGATAGAAATTACAATCCTGTTAAAGTAAATATATCCTGGAAAATGCACAGGAATAGTTTCTGAGTTCATTGAGGGAGACACACAGAACGAAGTTATACAAGATTATTGGAAAATCCAGAAAAAACGACTCAAATTTTCTGAAATATTTCGAGGAGGGAACTTATCTACGCCATCGTTATTTATTATAAACTGATTTCGAAACGACTCCAAATGAAGTACCCTAATATATTTCCATACCCTTGATGAAAGACCACAAACATCATATAATACTGAATCAAATATTTTCATGACTGTGTTTTAAAAATAGAAGTAGTAAACATTAGAGGTCAGGTTACCTCAGTTGTCAAACTAAAGCAGCCACATAAGACAGGTTTAAACTTCTTTTTTTTCTTTCTTACATTCTAACAAATCTCCGCTACAAATATTTGAAATTTCCACACAATCCTATTTAATATTGCCATTTAATTTTATGACGGTATAACAAGATTGTAATATTTATCGATTGGAAATGCGAAAAAAACTGACTCGATAAATTAAAACAATTAGTCCCTTTGATAAATTAGAATAAGGGATTTAGAAGACAACTTTCGCGAGATGATATCGTCATTTCGTAGTTTCTTTACAACCGCTTTACAACTAACTAACATGATTAACAATAGTAAAATAAAGATCATGACAATTACTCAGTTATACAAAACAAAATTACATACTAATGACCAATCATATTTAAATAGGTCAAGTAGTCATTTCATGGTAGGCGAAGATTGAAGTCTATTGATTTTTGTACACACATATGTATGTGTGTCTGTGATTAATCCAAAGTGCTTCCATCACCTTCAACAACCAACCATGAATTAGAGTTATGTGAAATGATTGTGAAACAGTCATTAATATTGATTTTGTGACCTGACATTAATAAGTGTTTTGCGATGGATGATGCTGGATTTCTATCTAGATTAGTCGCATTGGGATTTTCTATATAATTTAGTAGTAGGAAACGTTTACACTGTATATATACAGTTTCGACACATACATTCAGTTTTACTAGCTAGTGGTTATCCGGAAAACTTTATCACTTGTCACAGTAAAGAAAGACCACATCTCGAAAAGACAGCTTCTGTACCAAAGAAAGCTATCTTTATTAACCTACTATTCAAGGCTGACCACATTATGCCATCACACTGACATTCTACGCCGCCACATCTCTTTTTCTCACTTGCCGAATATTTTCGATCCCTGTACCTACGATTAAAGGACACAGTTCTGTGAACTCTGCTTCAAACTGTATCTACAAGTTCACCTGCAGCTGCAGTGACACCTATATAGGTAGAACCAACAGAATGTTCCAATGTCGTCGGAAAGAACCTGTTCTCGAATGGCTACTAAATTATATAGAAAATCCCAATGCGATTAATCTGAATAGAAATCCAGCATCATCCATCGCAAAACACTTATTAATGTCAGGTCACAAAATCAATATTAATGACTGTTTCACAATTATTTCACATAACTCTAATTCAAGGTTGGTTGTTGAAGGTGATGGAAGCACTTTGGATTAATCACAGACACACATACATATGTGTGTACAAAAATCAATAGACTTCAATCTTCGCCTACCATGAAATGACTACTTGACCTATTTAAATATGACTGATCATTAGTATGACTCAATAAAACCAAAAATAAGCATTTTTTTTCGTTATTTGAGTCACATGAAGCACAGGATTTCTTCTATTGAAGTATGTTCATATTAGCTCACCGATATCATGTAGTTAGTTGTGTATGAAAAACCTCTCAAGTATATAATCTTGCCTTTCCTTTGAACTTTGTCGTTCTTTTATAAACACACACACACACATAGACGCACATTACACCGCGCTTACTGCTTTTAGTACTTGTTGAATTCATTGGTTTATAGTACTCACTAAAATAGAAGTTAGTGTCACCATCTTAAGTATACACGATGCAGTCATAATAAATCAAAAGAAACAACACATGATATTTTTTAATACATACAAGTTGTTGCGAACATGTTAGTAGTCTGAAGAATAAACTGATGAGTTGTTGAGTATTTTGTCGGATAAACAATTCATATTCGGATCTTCTTTTTATTCAGATTGGTAATATATTCTTTTTATCACCGCTGCTTTGAGGAGGACTCACAATTCAATTTAAACAAAAGTGACACATGACACATGATGCCTTCCTTTACTTTATATATAAATAAGAAATGACTAATACAGCTTTTTTTCCTTTTTGTTCTTTCTTATTCATTCTTTAAATAAGTAATTCAATATTTAGTAGAAATATCGCTTAGGTGACACTAAAAGTTAGTACACATCCGCGTAAAATAAAAAAAAAACAAGACTAGACAATAGTTAGTTTACATATTTGTCGCATGATGAACGAACATGTATATATCACTTATAGCAAAAAATTCACTTTTATAGGATCCTAGTTTCTTGATGATTTCAGAGACATAAACTACTAAACCTCTCAAGGCATCAGTAGCAAAGAGTTCATAAAGTTTTATCTAACCAACTTTATTTAATATTGCCTTTCTCAAATTAATCACATTTCAACTAACGCTTTTGAAAGATCACCAACTAGTTCGCATACTGCTACAACTTCAGCACATTAACTTTTCAATCATAGTCATATCACTTATAAAATGTGAATAACGGTCATAACCAAAGAATACAACATTAATTAGTTTAATTAACAATTAGATTACACTTCAGTATATCAATGAGGAATCGACAGATGCTTTCAAAGAGCCTGAAATACGATTCAAAGTACAAATTAGAATGTAAAACGAATCTAAAAAGATGTAAAAGATAGTTTATTATTACGTGTTCATAAAAAGTGGGAATAATTTGTACAAATCAGATTGATTGATCGATGCTTAGTATTTTATTGATATTCATTGTAATATAGGCCAACAAAAATAACTCAATCCGCTGTTAACGGTGTTATTTATACACTATATATAACAGTACTAAGATATCCATACACAAAACAAATAGGTACACATCACTAGGAAGGACTAACAGCTGAGAAGTGAAGTGAGGATGCTTTAATAAAGTGACTAAATCATATTAGCACAACAACTTTCAGAAAGGTTTTAGCGTTTAAATTGCCTTACTTTAATAACTATACATTGAAGAAGGAAAGATTATCAAAACAAGCATTTCAAAATGAGAAACATACAGGAAATATATGTGTTGTATTCATCTGTGCGACTACAAATCTTGAAAAAATGTTATTCACAGCCTACTTGCATATTTTCGCGTATGATACAGCTAGCTGATAATACTTTACTACTGCCTGAAACTGTGTTAAGTCCTCCACGGTTAGTTAATGAGAATTCAGTTAGGCGGTACCTAAATATGAGCTACATACTTATTCTGTGATGGCTGTTGATATTACACCACCTAGTTGCTCAAGCTGGATTATACCCGGGACGTGATTCAAGCCCAAAAACCGCTGGATGGAAGTCGAGTACTTAAGCCGCTGAGCTACATCTCTACCCACATGGTTTGGTTGGATGTCTGTCGTCTAAAACCAACAAGACAGAGAAGCGAATTTACGAATTTCATGAAAATTTACTTTCTATACACAATATAATAACACACACGAATACGATACCCAGTATCGTAATCAGCATCCTATCTTCAGTCTATGATATATTCTTTTTCTTACATAGAACAATCACTTTGTGCTCATGTGTCGGACCTGACATGTGATAATGCCTGCATCACACTGAATCGTTATGATGCAACAATCCTTTTATTTTAGATTACTAGCGTCATTACAAACTTACTACTTAAATCAATCTTATCATTCATAATAAAATAACCAGAGGAGAAAAAAGTGCACATAGATACGAAGTTCGTTTTTTTTGCTGGCAGTTAACTTTTCCCATGGCTCCATATTATTCAATTAAAACATTAGCAGTTGTGACGCAATACCTGCAGACAATATATATATATATATATATATAAATGCGATACAATAACAAAGCACCGTTGTGCGTCGGTAGCACAGTGGGCAGGACTCTTGCCGACGATCCACATGGTCCGGGGCTCGATCCCCTGCCGACTCACACCTAATATCTATGGTCGGCCTACAAAATTTGGGCTACCACACAGTTTATGAAGAATGAATAACTGTACAACTATTATTATTATAATGGATATTATGAATCAAATATCTTAACAAAGATTTTACCTTATCATCAGTTATATCGCTAATATCAGGATCCTGTAAACCACATAATAATGGATTAACATTCACCGGTAAACTTGCACTAAGGCAATGTGATGAATTGTTCAACTCTTGACTTCGATTTGATCCACCAGCTAGCCCACTCGGTGAAGGAATCACTTGACGCTGCATATTAAAATGATGTTGTGGAGATAATGAGGATGATGGATAATGATTTTGTGGTATATGTTTTGATTGAAATTGTGAATTGCGTAAAGCACCTTGACTTGTCATTCCTGACTGGTTATTTGGTTGAAAAATGCGTAGTTGTGGTGATTGATGTGGTTGTTGTAATACCCGCTGAGATCGTAATCTGTTCGCCTGTGACTGATATTCAGAACCATGGAGACGTATACCACTGCTAGTACTACTACCACCACCAGGCATATTTCCATCACCACTGAAACTATTCGCGCCAATTGTAGACACTGTCAGCGATGTACACCGTGTACGCATTAATCTTAATGGTGAATCTGTGACAGCACTGCCAGCAGTAGGTCGGGATACTAAATTCATATTAGAAATAGGTGAATTCATTCTAGAACAACTGCCTAAAGGATTGCTTGGTACAGGGGCGGATCCAACAATCGGTACAGGAACAGAATCTACAATAATGTAAATTTAGAAAATTTACAGTAAATTAGAATAGAATCATAGAAATAGTGCAGATATTTATTAGCTTTGAATATACGATACAAATATCACACTTATAATAAAAACGAACAAAAAAGTCACCCCATAAACCAGTATGCTACCGATTGATGGAGATGAGCAGAGTTGTATACCGCTCATACTAACCAGTAGTGCTGCTTAAGTAGCCAGAACAAAGTGATCTAAACAAACACTGGACTGCCATTACTCTTGTTTGGGGCCGAGCTTATCGGTGGTGTGTAGTCCGTTTGACTTAGCTCAGAGGACTGAATCACTTCAAACCAACTGATTTCTGCCTAGTTGGCTTGGACGAACTAGTAACACCTTAACTAAAATTCTCAATTTGCAATATACACAATTCGAGGAGGGGTGACATTTCACCACAGTTTCCTCTGGAGACGAAAATTTATTTAGATCACAATATGTGATCTGCTTGATACCATGCATAACTGGTAATCAAGAAAGTAAGTACAAATGCATAAAACTATACGCTACTCATAAATTGGGATGATCAGTTGTACACCACTGACCTGGGTCCGAACCTTGGGGTGCGTACTGATGAAGAGTCCCACACTAGAGCGAAGCAGCTCTCTAGCACTCCCAGGTTTTCTAATGTTCCTCTAATCTATGTCAGCTCATGATGAAATCCTGTAACTTACGTCAACCACCAATAGTGATAACTGAATAACTACGAAATCCAATTTCCGATTAAACTTCATCCCCCTTTTGAGTCAAACTGTTAAAGACACACTTTGATTTCACCATTTGAACATGAGTAATCACCTTGATTTATGTTTAAAGACAGGGACGATATTGATCATCCAACTAGTTTCCAACCATTTGGGATTTTACTTAATATTTCTATGATTGACTCACCCAAAGATTTCACTATCATTATGATGAATGTAGCTCATAACCTGGCACACAAACATGAGTGACGTTTGTAAGTAAAACTCTACGATGATTTATTATTTATACCATAGTCAGCTGCAAGATCGCAATCATTAGAAACGATGGTACAAGCTTCAATAATCGGTCACATTTAATTAATTAACTAATTAATTAATATGTTTCTGTCTTACAATAAATTAACAATTCAGTTTGAAAATATAGTTAGTGAATCGATGCACTCAAAATTTAGTTTGAAATATTTTTTTTTTTACTTCGGCTATCTCCTACGGGAGGATGAGCCGGCTTCATGAACGTCTCGAATCATCGCTGCCCAGGCGCGGCGATCTGAAGCAAGGTTTTGCGATAGGGATATCCAATTCTTGTTCCACATACGGAGTCCGTAGACGGTTTGTAGCCCCAGGCACTCCATATCTGCCTTGACTGTACCAAGCCATGTCTTCAGCTGTCCGCCCCTGCGACATCGCCAAGATGGTAATGGCGAGGGATTTAGAACTGATTTGACCAGATCGTCATCTGGTCGGCGCAGAACATGGCCAAACCACCGAAGGCGGCGTTGTTGGACCAGTACTGGAATTTGGTTGATGTTGTAGCAACGCCGACGCACTTCTTCGTTGGAGAGTTTGTCCTGCCAACGAACATGCAGAATGTACCTGAGACACCAATGGTCTAATACCTCGAGTCTGCGTAAATCTTCCGCGCGAAGAGGCCAGGTTTCACAGCCATACAGCAGAACGGGTCGTATGGAAGCTTGGTAGACCCGAATTTTAGTCCTGAGACTGATTTCTCTCTTGCTCCATAGAACGCTCCTCAGCTGTAGAAACGCATTCCGGGCGTTGGAGATTCGCGCATTCACTTCGTTTTTCGCTTGGCCGTTGGGGAGCATTATGGATCCCAGATATCTGAAGGATGGCACAATTTCAATAGGTGCTCCATTTAGGGATAAGATTTCATCATTGCTGGTGGATGTGTTCGAAAACATTTTGGTTTTGGAAGTGTTAATTTTCAAACCGATAGTAGGCGCGAGGTGGTTTATCTGGTCGAGCGCCTGTTGCATATCGGGGAAGTTTTCAGCTAATAGCACGACGTCGTCGGCGAATTCGAGGTCGGTTATGTGAATATCGGGCGAAAGTTGGACGCCGTGGTGCTCGGTTAGGGCGTGCCGCAAAATCCAATCAATTGTGAAATTGAACAGGATGGGGGATGCTGGACAACCTTGCCGGACACCGCTGGTTACCTCAAAAGTGCGGGACTCTTCACCGTTCACTCGGACTCGAGCTTTGGTGTTGGAGTAGTATGACCTGAGCAGGTTGATTAGCTTGGTCGGAACTCCGTCGAGCTCCATTAGATACCAGAGTGCTCCTCGATCAACTGAGTCGAATGCCGCTTGGAAGTCGATGAAGCAAGCAACCGTCGGCTGTTGGAATTTGTCCCTGTGTTCCAAAATTCTTCGCAGTGTGAATAATTGATCAACACAGCCTCTTCCAGGTCGAAATCCGGCTTGATTTGGCCTTGTTCGCACGTGGCGTTCGGCCGCGAAGCGGTTCAGGAGAATGGAAACAAAAACCTTAGCAGCGATATCAATCAGACTTATGCCTCGGTAGTTCTCGCATATTGACCTGTCTCCCTTTTTGTGGAACGGTAGCAGAACTGAGGTGCTCCAATCGGAAGGAATGGTTTCGGACTCCCAAATTGAGCAGAACAGCGAGTGCAGTGCATCGATTAGCGCTGGAGTGCAGGCCTTGTATATTTCTGGGGTAGACCATCTTCGCCCGGAGCTTTTTTGTTTCTGAGTCTGTTAATTGTTTTAGCTATTTCGGTTGGAGTGGGTGGATCGCAGTCAACTACGTAGGGTGTTGGTAAGTGTCGTATCGGTCGATGAGACGGTTGACCAGCGTCGCGATTGAGTAGCTGCTTGAAATGTTCGGCCCATCGTTCCATCTTACCATTGGTGTCCGAAATAATTTCTCCTGATGCTGTGCGTAACACAGCATGACTGTTAAGGCGTTTGCCAGATGATTGGCGTATGAGGCGATAAAGTTTTCCGAAATCGCCTACATTTGATGCTGCTTCCATGTTAGTCGCCACGTTAGACCAATAGCGATTTCTGTCGTTCCTAGCAGACTGTGTAGCTTTGCGCCTGAGGGAGCGATAAACTGGAGACTTTGCTAGGCGAGCGTCTCTGGCTTGCGAGGATAGAAGCATGGTGTGCTCTGAAATCCAGTCTTTCTGCTTCTTGGATGTGGTACCCAAATGCGACATTGAAGCTTTAGAGACTACTTCTTTGAAATGATTCCATCGTGTCTCGGGTGTATTAGAAGATGTGGATGTTGGTTCATCTGCGGCGCTTAGTTCGGCCTGGATTTGTTTGGACAAGGCTTGTCGCTTTGTCGAACATTGAAGCGGGGCAACATTGATACGCTTCGGAGGTCGCGCCTTCTGGCGTGTCGTTAAACGAAGTTTGAATTTCGCCCTAACTAGAGTATGGTCTGATCCCCCTTTATTTCCGGCCTCTGCTCCACGATAGGATCGACAGTCTTCCACCGAGGAGATCCAGCGTGAGCGCACTAGGATGTAGTCGATCTGATGTGCAGTGCGACCGTCGTTCGAATACCAGGTGAGAAGATGTTTTCTGGGGTGTTGAAATCGAGTGTTGGTGATATATAATCGATTGTAATCAGAAAAAGCTAAAAGTCTATCACCATTACGGCAGCGCTGATCGAGACCGTGTTTGCCTAGTATATGTTTTGTCGCGTCGTCTGAAGGGCCAGTGCGGGCGTTCCAATCGCCGGCTACTATGAGAACGTCACGCTTTGGGATTTTGTTGATTGCCTCTTGAAGATTGTCATAAAATTCGTCTTTGATACTTTCATCAGAGTCGAGGGTTGGGGCATAGACAGCGAGAACAGAAATGTCGAGCGGGGAACCCTTGAACCTAGCGACTGCAACTCTGGAGTTGACCGGTTCGAATGATATTAGGGCATTATTGGCTTTGTTACTGAGAGCAAATGCTACCCCATGTTGTCCCGAATTATTCTGGGGTCCACTATGAAGCAACCAGAATGAAGAATCTGTTCCAGGTACGGCTATTCGGCGGGAGCCATGATCGGGTAACCTCACTTCAGATAGACACGCTATGTCTACCTTGTAGTCGTATAAAGAACGCATGGTGATAGACTGGCTACCAGGATCCAACAGCGTCCTAACATTCCAGCAGCCAACAAATAGTTGGTTTCTAAGTGTTAATTTCCCAGCTAGCTTACTTTTCACACTGGCCACCGGGTGAGCACAGGGCGCGTCGCTTACCGGGAACGCCGTAGCATGGTGAGAGTTGTTTGTAGGAGAGTTCATGAAGTTTCTTGGGAATTTGGTACGAGTGATGTCCCCAGCATCGCTCGGCCTTTTGTTTGAGAGTGCAGCTCTAGCCTTTACACAGCCAAGTGTGACCTACAAGGCAGTAGGAGTGGAGTAAGGAGTCCACTATACCATTGAAAGTATAGATTTAATAAGATTCCAAGCACAAGTCACAGTATGCATTGTTACGTAAGCATATATACTTTTAAAAGTATATGTCATTTAAGGCTTAACAGTTTTGCATAGGAATTTCTACTCGTTCTCAATGGCCCAGACGCATTCACCTTTTGTGATTTATTGAACCATGTTGTCCTTCCATGTTATTATTCTACCTCCTGAACATTTCTATTCATTATCGTTCTCCTTTCTTCTCACTTTTGTCTTCCTTTGTTTGCGACATGAAGTGTGGCAACTCGAACTGGTGCACTTCTGTGCAAAGTTCTATGTTAGAACCAGTCAGTCAGTTACACAGGGATTTCCAGTAGTTAACTGTACCAAGAATTACACGGTAATTTTTAACAACATAAAACGATATCAGTTAGAGTTTGTCTGCGATTTATGGAACGAGTCAAGAATATCAGAAAGTCATAGAATAAAAATGTTTTCATAAAATGGCATTAAAGCACACTTCAAAAATGTACTAAATATGGAAAAGTGAAAAATCAATAATGGTCAAAAAATGATCCATGTT